GCGTCATTGCATTAGTCAGACCCGGCCTGACATCCTGTTTCACCGGCTTAGCACGAAAACACCAGGCGCGGTCCAGCAGGAGGTGGTCCAGTGCAGAGCATTGTTGGAAAGATTTCAATTTAATGGAAAATTCTGATTTATGGTTGGGGTTGCGTGACCAGAAAGCAAGATAACGATAACGAGGAGCTGCAGTTTTTGCCCAGCTAGCGAACGGCGGGTTGCAGGGTTGCCAGCTTCAAGGGGTGTTTGGGGTCGAGAAAGTTACGGGGTTGCACGATTCACATGTATTGAACTTGAACTATCCACAGGCGTTTAGTGCTGTGTCTAAAAGTGCTTTTTATTTGTTTTGGTTTACATGCATACACGTGCATGCATGTAATGGAGTGTTTCAAGTCTGGCGTCCACTTGCCTTGCTGGCCGTGCACGGATGCTCATTCACTGCTTCCGACGAGATTGCACAAACGAGCGAAGCGACGCAGCGCTTGAAAACTACCTGGTTCGGCCTTCAGGATCCGTGGACGTATCCCCAACGTTTTATCCCGGAGCTTGTAATTATACCACATGTTTCAATCAGGTCCCTAACCGCGATGAGGATGGTTTTGAGTGTCGATGGCCGGGTTCCGTAATGGTAACACATATGGACCCTTTAGGACTTTAGGAGCTTGGGATTGTCGTGACCCTAAATAAATTCGGTTCAATTATTGCCCAGGTTATAAGACGATCCCTTCGCGAGCTCAGGTTAGGCCGTGTAAATCAGAACTCAGAGTAGGATTTAATGTGTATACGGGTGGCCGCACTTGCCCCGGCCAGAAGTTTCCCAAATTGAGGCAGGCGAGGACCAAGGGGAGAGAGAGAGAAAGAGAGAAAGAGAGAGAAAATAGTGGTGTGAAATTCGCCGTGTTGGTGTTCGTTCTCCCGAATGTTGAAAAGAGACCACACCCGATATTAAGATGAATCCCGAACCCTACATAGTATGTAGCAATAGGTAGGCCAGTTACAGTGCGACATGAAAGTTTTTCGGACGACAGTTGCGCATTCATTTGGCGCGAGTTCCGCCGACCGCCTGTGTGACGTTTGTGGCTTACAGGTTTAGTTTAGTGTCGGGCGTCCTCTCGTGTTTCAGATCTTTGTCATAGTGTGTGTTAGTGTAGGTACATGAACATTGACATGCACATGTAACAGTTATGCACTTGCGGCTTACCTATACCTGATCGTGTTTAATCCAAGAATCGGCTGTTGACCAGCTGCACAAATTTGTGCAGGGAGAATCTTCCAGGCCGATGGTGGGTCCAGTTTGGAAGTTGAGGACTCACAAACCCTAGCTGGTGAACTTGGAATCCTGGAAGCCAAAAGTGTATTTTCAGCCATGAGGGCTCACGGTTTTTAGGTGAATCATGTTTCGGAGGTATCCGACGAGGAACGGTGACCTCTGCCCGACGTTTCAGTGCCGTGTTAGTCCAACAGCTTGAGTGTAAAGGATGGCTTGAAGGCCCCTGCTGCTTGGGCCCCGAATGGTCCGGGGTTTCACGGCCATGTTACGAAGGTCAGAAAATGAGTGTGGGATTTCAGCGGTTTTGTAATTTGGAGGCGTTCACACCTAGCCTTCAAGATGGCGAACCCATCAGTGTTTATGTTGAGGTTGAAGCGCCTTATTCGAAAAGACAACTACTGAATGGCAGAAACACGAAACTTCAGAAAACAGCCAGGTGATTTAGGCGATAGCAGAGGCAATGCCTGGTGCACCCACACTTCTTGGTGCGGAGCCCATCTTCACCAATGCTGGGTCGAGTGTTCGGTTTCGAGGTTTAGGTTTTAGGGTTTCGGGGTTCATGGTTTGGGGCTTCGGTTTTTGGGGAGTAGGATTCGGGCTTTGGTTTGAGGGTTTCTGGTTTAGTCTTTTCGTTGGGTTTTTGGGGATTAGCTCTTTGTTTGGAACTTACAAGACTTGGTCTGCAGTGATACTGCTGTGCTCTTTTGTTTCGAGGGGCTTTTGTTTGAGAACCTTCTTCTGGCCGGGATCTGCTGTCCGAGGTTTCTGTCTGTGAATGATTCACGTCAGCCCTCTTCCCGTTGGTCACGTCTTGCATTCAAGTTTAGAGAGCCGAAAATATGAGGCCCTGGCCGCAACGGGGTTTTGAGCTCGGGTTCAGCATCCGGGATTGTAATCCGATGGCGCTGTTTCTATATATGTAGAAAAATATGTATATATATACATACATACATAAATACATACATACATACATACATATATATATATATATATATCAGGTACTGTTTCGCTGCTGTTGTTATTGCAATAAGATTATGTTGGACCGGGTTTCAGAAAAAGTCTGAACAGCAGAGCGACAATTGAGCGCGACCTTCACCCGCGATCAGTAGCTAAAGGAGTGGGACACCATGGCGGGTAGGAGACATGAATGAGGGCAACGGGGCACATGCAAGAATTGCCAAGCAAAGATAAGCAAAACATACAGGATTGCGAGCCTCATGTGAACCCGATAGGAAGACACAACAAGAACGTTGTGGCTACAAGTTCAAGCTTTGCCCTGACGCCATCCTTCATCGAAGGTGAATTTAGTGTCCGCTTATGAGAGTGACGTGTCACAGGACGCGGCTTCTCTGCCAAAGTGGCCTCAGTGCAACCGCCGGGCTCCTGTGTTTTCGTAAGTCATATGTTGGGGATTTGCAAGGTCGCAGGGCAAACACTTGAGATCATTTGAGCAGGTCTCGGCAGGTACGATATTTCATCACCCATGTGACGGGGTGATCAAGGTGTGAGCATTTGATGATCAAGGTTCCCTAAACCCTAAACCCTAAACCGGGCTCCCCTTTGGCTTTTCGAGGATTCCTTCCCCCGCGTTCTTCATCGGATGATGTCACTCGTGCAGCCTCCCTAAGGCTGAAGACTCATCTTGCCCTCACCACTTCGTTCTGAATTTCGGGCCTTGGATTTGGGCCCCCGTCCCCCGTGCGCACAAAGACATGTTCAGTTCAGGACAGACTGCATCTTCCGATGCAGCTGCTGCATGCAGCTTATCGCGAATGACGCCCCGGCCATGGGGCAGCAGTGAGCATGAGCTTTGAAGAGTTGTGCTTCCGCGCTTCAGGGCTTCAGGGCAGTTCGCAAGGTTGCTTTCTATGGTTGAAGACCTGGAGCATGGGGCATGCAGTTCACAAGTTAGGTTTAGGGTACCTGTACGCAGGAAAGTCGCCACGGACAGAGAGGCCCACTGTGTTCCTGTCCTGCGAATTCAGCCCCGAAACCTGAGGTTTACATGCGGCACGACCTGACCTACTGCAGCCCCTACTGCAGGGACCGTGGAGTGCCTGCGTGGGGTTCCCAGAACTCTGCAGGCCCGGTGTTGCTACACAAGAAGGACAAATCGCGTAGAGTCTAGCAGAGCAATAGCAACAGTGCGACATCAAGAAGTACAACAGGCAGGTGGAGCCTCTTCTTCTTCTTCTTCTTGTAAGTGGTGCTGGTGGTTGGCAGTTTGTCGTTGGTCTTTAGTGGCTGGTAGTTGCTACTAGCTGTTGCTAGTTAGTTGACAGTTGCTCATAGGTCTTAGGTTGTAGGTGGCAGGTAGGTGGTAGGCGGAAAAGGTAGGAGGTCGGGGCTAGTAGGTCGTAGGTCGAAGGTAGTGGGGAGTAGGTAGCAGATATTAGGTGGTGCATAATCCCTGGTATGCATTTTGAATAGGTAGTAGGTAGTGCTTGTGGCAGTTGCACTAGTAGTAATCGTCGTCGTAGTCGTCGATGAGTATTATTATTATTATTATTAT